AATTGCTAGGTGTTGAGCATGCATTTTGCATGGAAAGTGAAATTTAGGTGTTTAGACGATTCCACCATAGAAAGCAAGTAGACAAAATCAGTTCAAAATGTCTTATAATTAGGTTAACTTTTTATATTTTTTTCTACCACTGAACATTACGTTCACTGAATTAACCAAGCCCAGCAAAAAAGTTTTACGAGGACGAACTGAAAATAATGCTGCATCGCATGCACTAAGACACTATCTATTAGGGGAGCCAGTGAAAATTTGCAGCAACTTGCAGCCCTAGCATCCAGACACTTTTTTCTTCTAAGGGTTGGCCGTGGCTTGGTGCACTTGAGCACAAGTGGTAAATGCCCCAAAGGGTGTTTTCGCGATAGCTCAAAACACCCAGGCAATAGAGAGCTGCAACCTGGCATACCTGACCTTTGATGCACGCTGGATCTTGTGACACCAGCCGCACTTTCAAGTCAGGTCAGGTCACTGACCTATGACGTCATAAATGAACCTCTGCACGATCCTCAGATGTCGCAACCTTGCAACGCTCTCAGTGCCAGAGTAACTTTCACAGGGAGGTGAGACTTGCAGGACTTATTGTCCTTCAGAGGTCTTACAACTTGTATATCTCAGATTTTTCCTAAATGTCACATAAAGTCAGGTTGGTCACGTGACCTCACCTATAAGTCAATGGGGAAATTTGAAAACTGTTATTTTGGCGCCAGGAATGATATTCAATTGTCTCAAATACATGGAATCGTTACTTCATGCACTCCTTGCAAGATCTGATGCTGCATTTTTGAATTGTTGACCTTGCATGACGTCATTTATGACGTCTCTAGGGTCATACGAGTTTTTCGTCAATAACTCCCAATCAAATTGAGCTAGAGAGTCGACAAGGTCACCAATGGACTCCGTAAGACCTGCCGAATCGAATGATATGCGATATGACCTCCTTCGACCAACTTCGTGATTTGAAGACCTCTGACCTGACCTTGACTCGAGATCAAGGCCAGGTTTACCTTACGGTGGCCTCACCTAAACAAAAGTATACCATTCGACGCGCCTGAGCAAGGCGGACACGGCGATGTCAAAATCGTGGTTCTGCGGCCATTTTTTGCGAAGTTATTTACCAAAAACCAAACCCGCTGCTTGGGTCACGTTATGAAATGGGGCCTTGCCGGGCGAGATTTACGCTGTTTCATGATATGTATAAATTGGTAGGGCATGATCGTTTGAATAAAAAATTGGTTTGGAAGCAATTTTCTATGGAGGTACACACCATTTCAATGTCCTACCCAGCTCATATCGTCATAAATTTCGACCTACCCTCAAAAGTATTCATGCGTTATTCGAACAGCAATTAGGCAAATTGCAAGCTCGCCACAGAGCACAAATCCTTTAATAGATAGTCCTTATTTGAAACATATGCTCATTGGATATTCAAGAAGGTTGCTCCTAAATATTGTGGTTCTAGCTTCAAAAACATGGATGTTATGAATGCCGGTAGGTTTCGCGAGGCTACACCGGCCGGATCGCCCACTGTGGACTGGCGCGACCCGTCTCTGCCAAGGTCGATGCCCTGTTTGACAACCTCGATCGGCAAACAGGCGCAAATGTTCGCCGACAAACAGTGTTCGGTGACGTCACGCCTCACGGGGGCTGGACTGCTGCCAGACTGACCCCCGCTGATAGACGAACCCCCACCTGGGCCACTCGGGAGTCCGTGGCGCCAACACAAGCCACAGAGCGTGTACCTATGCAGTGCCGAGCAGCTATGGTGGCTTCAGCGGAATGTGGTGAACTGATAGTCACCGTGCTGAACTGTTCCTGTCTATCACTGAACGAGCGTGGTACTCGTTCGGCTAAGGAGCGATGCCTGTTGAAGGGGTCAACGCGTCCTGTAAGGAATTTTCACTGGGAAAGGGGCAGAGGCTCAAAGAGCCAAACCTAGGGTATCCCCAAATCCTGTTTTCTCATCGGGCCTACATCGGCATTCCGATACATATTCGACCCGAATATTGATGACCTTGAATACACTTTCACCTTCACGTTGATATCGATATTCTTAGAGCATTTGAAGATAAAGCTTTCACATAGTTAGGGATACCAAACTCAAAATTTTCCTCACAATCAGAAGAAACGTTTTCAAGCTTTAATTCTGGCTTCAGACTTCATGTTGGTTTCGAAATTTAGCGTGAAGAGACGGGGTGCAACATAAGTTGCTTTAATTTTCTTCAGATCGTTTTCTTAGTGGTCTTTATGTGTTTCCGCATAAATGACCAGTAGCGGCGGAACACCTTCAATTAAGGGGGGGGGGGGCACTGTCGAGTTTGGGTCCCATTCTTTCCATGCAACGCCCATAGAGCTAATGTTAAAATGCCAAAATCAAAGGGGGGCACGGTGCCCCGGTGCCCTCCCCGTTCCGCCGCCTATGTAAATGACCATCAGGGAGGACCCTGAGCCTGACCTGTGACCTCTAACTTGGCCTTAGGTCCTTCATGAAAGGTCAAAAATCGAGGTACCGGGTAAGTGCCCTTAATTTTCTTCTGATCATTTTAAGTGATCGCTCTGTGTTCCTCGCCTAAAGGACCATCGACGATGACAGGAACACATTGGAGACCACTTACAAAACGATCAGACGAAAATTAAAACTGTGGGCTTCTGATGGGCTTGTGAAAGCGCATTCGCACGAAGGTAGACATATTTCGCTAAAAGCATGTCCTTACGTTCTGCTTCTCATTCATTTATATTGCGACGTCCACAGCACACCTGTTTATTTAGTGACCGTTTTTTCCACACGCGTAGGCTATTCTCCATTCACCTTATCGGTGTGCCGATGGCCGTCGCTCGCTGGCGCTGTTGCGGGCCGTTTGGACGTCCATTGTGTGCTGTGACGGAGGCGGCCGCCTATGGCCCGGTGACTGATGACTGATGACTGATGACTGATGACTGATGCAGTCTCAGTGCCGACGGTAATGGGTCCTGTCCCTCCCCCGTACCCACCAGGTCGATGGCTCCTACCGGGGCCGGGGGTGAGGGGTGGGGAATTAACATTAGTGGCGGATGGACCTGCAGAGAACGTTTACCGACGCATACCCGTCATCGGGTGCCCGTCAGTCTTCGATGGCAACGGCCAGCACATATGAACCAATTTCTTCAGCCCAATAAGCACCAATCCAACCTACGTAGGAACGTGCCTATATGACAGCGCAGGAAATGGAAATATGCTCATTGTAGGGAATAGGTAGATAGCGGCATGGTTCGATTGAGGGTGGCTTTTTTATAAGGCCTCCGTCTGAACTGGTAAGATGATGCTGTCCGGTAGCACATTCGTTGGCCGCGAGGCATTTCTGATAAAGCATGCTAGTCTTTTTTGCGTTATTTGCTTGTCTCTCCGGTCTCGTGGGGCATAGCACCTAGCAGCCCAGACGGTCACATACCTAGGAGTTGTAGCTCCCGTTGGCTGTTGGAGCGGCATTTACCGCGCCCGGTTCCTGAGTTGCCGCCAGAATGACTCCGTAGGATCTAACTTCAATGATGTCATGATGTCAATGGGTCTATGTATACGAGATCGTGCTTCCACAAAACATTCAGTCGCTGAAACTTGAAAGGTTTCAAGAATCAGATTAGCCATGATTCAAATGCACATACATATATTGTATATTTAGGCCATTTTAATTTCATACTGTTGCGACAGACTGTCAGACTTGACCTGGCTGACTCTTTGTAGCCCCAAATTCGTGACGTCGCATCAATTAACCCTGATCAAACAGCACAGTGGACCCCGGCTGGCGGGCGTGTCTGACACGTGGCGCCACTGCGGCGCTTCCCGGTGTCGACTGCGATCGGCCCCGCCATCGGATCAGAGCCACACGACCGTTAGCGATCCGCCCACTCATCAGAGACCAGAGACAGATCAGATGGGATTTGTGGTCGGACGTCCCGTCGGTCAGCGGGGCGGTCGGTCGACGGTCGGAGCTGGCATGGGTCGGGACTGGGAGCTGGGCGACACTAGCGCCGCCAGTGGCGCGGTAATAGCGCCTCTGGCGGTAAAAGCTTGTAGCTGAAGTACAGGAAAAGCCCACTTTATTCTGGTCATCCCTGACTTGATTCTCACTTTCTGAATCAATTAATAAAAATGGAATAAGAGGGTAGACCAATGTGTACTTTTCGAACCGGCTCATCTCAATGGAACGAGATGAGAATACAGAGTAACTGGGTCTGTTCGACCATCGACTGAGCGAGTCGGACTCGGTTGCCGAGTCCGTCTACAAAGAACAGGCCCTCGATCCCAGAGTGGGACAGACCAAGGGACATATGTACTTCCCAGCTACTTAGTCACTACAGAGGTTTACACGTCCACGGCTCATTAAATCTTCCTTTGCTGGTGGTCAGGAAGGGTTGGTAGTTGTCCTGTAGCAGCCAGCTAGCTGCCGGGGAGTGTAGTAAAAGATGACGGTAGGGTGGTTTAATCCCGATGATGGGAACTGGGAAGACAGACATGCTTCAAAATCAGAGGTAACCACTTGTCTGTTCCTCGTTATTTCGAGCTCCTACAGTTGACGTCTAGCAGCCAATGAGAAAAGTGTTAACAAATTTCGGGAACAATACCTAACTCCATGAGACGAGACAGTCTATTTGAGGTCGGAGACAACATTCACGATTCACGTTATTTAGCCGGAGTTTGTACTTTATGAACACAGAGGCGTTTACACATACCGTACAATCCTGAAGCAGCTAACTGTAAGAGAGAAGAGGGCCTTGGCATTGGGACAGGACCGGTCGGGTGGGGCTCCCACTTCCCAGTCACTCGGTAGACTCGGTCGGGGACTCGCTGTCGGGTTCACAGTCAGCCCCACTTCCTTGGCCACTAGCTCCCTAATATGCATTTAAACATCGGTTCAAAATCTCTCTTACGTTTACCGACACGGAAACGATGTGGCGGGCTCCTGCTTGTGGGGATGCTTTCCACACATTCGAGTTCATTGATTCATTTCTGTTCGTTTCAGATGATGCGGTGAAGACGTGAAGCCGAGGTTCCAGAATCGGCTCAGAGATGGCGACTGCTGCCAGCGGCCGCTATGGCCCCTATGCTGCGGGAGGTAAGGCACATCCACGTCGGGCGCATTGTGGATCATTTAGAGTGGCCAGCAAACCACTTCTGCAGCAGGAGTGTCTGTAGTCAGTGGGACAGGGACAGATATCGGTGGTGGCACCAGGGCAGTGCAATATGGGAAAGAGATGGGACGGCTGAGACAGAGATGGTCACAGGTGGGACAGATGAGGGACACAGGTGGGACACATTTGAGATGCATGTGGGATTCGCGGGAGAAGTGAGACAGAGATAGGACAACAATGAGCGATAAGCTGCTAAAAGATGAGGTAGAAATGAGACAGATCACAGAGATGGGACGAAGATGGGAGATGGGACAGAGCTGAGACAGATGTGGTGTACCTAGGTACGGCTTAGAGCTGTATCAGTTCGACAAAGTTATAGCCGGACAAGGTCAGACGGTCAGTCGACGGGGATAGATAAAAGAAGCTTAACCCTATTCCTGGCGGGGGGGGGGGGGGCTCAGGAGCCCCCCCTGAGGTTTTTTTGGTTATTTCTTCCAAACGCTTTGAGCTAGGAAGCTCAAATTTCCTGACTTTTACTAAAAGGCTTTTACGCAACATTTCTGAAAATTTTGAGTTGATCTGACCTCAGGTCAGGTCACCAGAGGCGGTTTGGTGACCCTACCTCAGAAAAGCTTGCAATCACGCCAGAGCTAGAGTTTTTCACCGATCAATTTCTTCTCTTCAGGCTTTAGTTAGGGTACCAGTATGTGCAATTTGTATATCTCAGAATTTTCATATCTGTGACCTGAGGTCAGGCCAGACTCGTGACCTTTACATTGCAAGCCTATGGGAAAATATTGAAACGCCTCCTGCTTCGTGTAAACGAGTCAAAACCACCCAATTCTTTCAGTATTATGGAAGATTATCTCATCGGTGATGATCCTGGTGCCGCTAATTGACAGGGGCACCGGCAAAGGTCATCTGAGGTCATGTGACGTCATAAATCGTTTTTCTGTAAATAAATCACGACATGATGGTGCTAAAGACTTGTAAGTGGTACCAAACTGCTCGCCTGGTCAAGGCGCGTCGTTTGGTATGCAGCATGACCATACCCCACAACCTCATTGATGAATGACCTGACCTTGACCTCAGGTCAAATTTCAAATTGACCTGTGAAGGTCATCACATACTTATTTCGCATCGCCTCGGCGAGAGCAACAAAAAATGTATTGGTTTTATGTCTCTATGTTTCTTAGTTTAAAAGTTCTATAGGTAACTAATTCCAAAACATTTTATCGTTGATGACCTCTGGTGACCTCAATATTGACCTGACCTGAAAATGTTTTATGTAAAAGTTGTAGATCTCTAAACGACCTATCAAACGCCGTTCGCCGTTTGTCGCTGCGATGTGTAGTTTTTGAGATCTGAAGGGGGGGGGGGGCTGAATCGGCCCCCCGCCAGTTTCTTGTCCCGGCGGAGCCCGCCAGGAATAGGGTAGGGTTAATAGGTAGGTACAAGGTCTCGGATGGACAAGTAAAAGTCTGTTGGAACGGGGTGGGAAAAGTCAATGGAAGCTACAATGACCTGATTTTTGGGCTTGGTGATGAAGTCTTCCATAAGCAAGCTGCATTCTCTATTATTATTGCCATGCAAAATCAGCCCCACACAGCTCGTCGTTATGAAATCCACGACAAAGTGCGATCATTAGGTACCTTAGCTTGATTTTCAGTACAGCAGAAAAGTTGGTGTGTGTTTTTTATGCAACTTTGAAAGCCCTTTGATTTTTGTAGGTAGGTAAGTTTAAATGCGCGATTTCGGGAAACAATGTGTAGAGCTAAATCAAAGAGCATCCGGCTTATGTGCTTTGGTGTTTCGCCACGAGCCAGTAGCGGCGGAACACCTTCAATTAACCTTCGCGGTGGGGGGGGGGGCATTTTTTGCCCCCCTTTAGTTTTTTTCGATATATCTCGAGAACCGCTGCGCCGATCGTCACCAAACTTTCAGTATCCTCCCGGGAGTAGCTAGCGCACATGGTGACCAAAAAATTTCCAAAGGCTATGATAGGTTGGCCGCTAATGACGTCAGAGTGACGTCATTTTTGCCATTTTCGACCCAAAAAAAAGGTTTCGCGGGAAGAGCTGTCAGGCCTACAGCTTAAGTGATACAGAAAAATGATTCGACATAAAAGGTGTGGAATCAAGAGAGCTACAAAACTGCTATTTCGGTTTTTCGATTTTTTTTTATTTTGACCTCCAAAAATAAAAAAAATAGATTTTTTGAAAATAATAGCCTAAAAATCCAAAACGTTTTTTTGAATTTCGATAAAAACCGGAATATATGTGATAGTCCCTACCGCCTTCTATCTACATACCAAATTTGAGATCAATGCCTCTTTTTTTGGCCAAGTTATAGCGAAAAAACTGTTCAAAATTGATGACGTCAAATTTTCAAACTCAATTTTTAGCAATTCTAGACCTCGTAGCGCAAAACAAAGACCACCATTAGACTCCCCGTGACGAACTGCATTGAATCGATACCCATTTTATGCAAAAATATCAACTTTAAAATTTGACCTTTTTTGACCTGACCTTGACCTGACCTCCACCAGAAAGTGACCTAAACCGTACCTGATGGTCTTATAACCAACACCATTGAGTTGGAAATGAAAAACTGGCCATAAAATATGCATCGCACAACTTTAGTAAAGTTGGGTTCATATGGTGACCCTTGGTGACCTTTGGTGACCTGACCTGTGACCTGACCTGGTATGACCAGTGACCTCTGATAGCAACATATGTACTAGAAAACTGACGCCTTATCGCTGATTTTCGACAAAATGCGTTTTACTCGGTGTTATAGCACTTTCCATAGAAGCCCCATGAACGGTGAAACATTTTATCTTTGATCTGACCTGTGACGTCATCGGTAACCCCGAGGTAATGAAATTTGGTTTCTCAGAACAGATTTGATAGGGCTATCGAACGCCGTTTGAATTTTCCGGATCCGTCCAGTAGTTTCGGAGATACGAGGGGGGAAAAAATGCCCCCCCCCAACCGCGCGGAAGGTGGCTGGTAGGCTCACCGCCTGCCGGGTTAAGGGGGGGGGGGGGCACTGCCGACTTTTGGTCCCATTCTTTCCATGCAACGCCCATAGGGCTAATGTCAAAATGCAAAATCAAAGGGGGCACGGTGCCCCGGTGCCCTCCCCGTTCCGCCGCTTATCTTTTGTTCCTTTCCCGATAAATCATCGCAGTCTCTTGTTCCGGGCTGGTAGAAATTCAAAAGTCGCTGGCGACGTCGCCAACTTCACGGACATAGAAATTCACCGATTATTGAGCACTTAAAGAAAATTCCCGAACAAAGTAACAAAGAACTGCCGTACCTTTGAATTATCAATGAACAGGCATTCACTAAAAATCTGCATGTAGTGATGTATGCATTCGGATCACCTATCTAGGCTGATAAACTTGACAATCCATTTTAATTACAATCATGTCAGCACAAAATAAGCAAAGTCTCTCTGCAATGCAAATACGTTAAGCATCTCATTAAAGTCCATCTTCACTGGAGTGCAGATCGAGTTTCAGCTGTTTTTCGCCACAAACAAGCCTGGTTCCGGGCGGAGTTCCGAACTACACTTCTTTTGAGAGCGGCGGCTCGGAGTGTGCCACTTCTCATCTTACTTCCGCATTCGTCCGCTCCACGGACCGGCGGCGGCGCGGCGCGGCGCGAGTGGCGCACCCGCGACAGATGCGCCGTGTCGCGCCACGCGCCGCGCAGCGCTATTTGTGTCGCGGCGCCGCCCGGTCCGGGAGGAGGACGGTCTCAGCCGGGCGCGGTTCGATCGTACCTAATGTCCGGTGACGGGGTGACAGGGCTGCAGACCGCGCGGCGCAGGGGCTGGAGAGTGGTCCGGTCAGAGGACCAGTCCTCTCTGATGGACACCGCGTGATCTGGTCACATTTGGCACCGCCCCAGCAGTTTCCGGAACTCCCGGCCTATTACCACGCCCCGGAAGCGCAATGGAAATGGCCGTCGAGTTGGGGTCTGTTCAATAGTGGACTCTGCAGAGTGCAGAAGTAGTCACGACGGTACTTGACCAGGGGAAATATTTCTTTTCTTAGATATCGGAGGGCCTAGCTTTGATCGGGGAGATGCTTGGTATCCCCATAACTTAGTTGAACATCGTCTTCTGCTCAAACTGTCGTAGTAAATGACGTACTCGTTGAAATGAAATGACGTAAAAAATGACGTACAGTGCACATGAAACATGTATGATGTGTAGGCATTCGTTCGATGAAAAGACAGAAACACCAAATTAGCGGCCCGCTAAACCTTTTTTGAAGCCGCGTGTTTACGTACTGCATACTCATACACGAGGCAGGAGACAGCTGAAAGCTATAAAATCTGAGAAGGAAGGGAACTACATTGCTGAGAATAACCATTGCTGATGATGTCAACGTCATTCCCGTTTTACCAATGAAGGACTTTTATCTATCTGTTCTCTAATTCGGGGTTCCACGATTAGCGCCATCCTGTCATGGATTAGCATTATTTGCAGATATCCGCGGATAACGGTGATAAATTGAACATCTGCCGCATCAGCAGGTGTCGGTACCGGCTCGAGATGACGCAGATACCGTATTGATTTCTGTTGGAGCCTCGCCCTCAGCTTATTAGATCAGTTCAATCGGCGAATGACACTTATAACGTTATCCCAGGCGATCCTCACGCCTACCGTATCAAAGTAACGGTGAGTGCCGAGATCTACATATACGTGTACTTAGGGATGGATGGCATAGTAAGATTAGATATCTCAGTGACGGTCAGAGCATTTCAGCGTTATCGATAATTTGAAAGCAGAGCGTTCGAAAATCGTTCTTTCGGTCTGTCAGTCAGGCAGTTATTTAGTGTCAGTCTGCTGGTCTGTTGCCCTGTCGATCTGTCTATCCTTTGGTCTGTCGGTCTGTCAGTCTGTCGGTCTGTTGGTCTGTCGGCCTGACGGTCCGTCGGTCTATTGGTCTGTCGGTGTGTGGATCCGTTGA